AGAGCAAAAAGAACAAAGAGAGCAAAAAGAACAGAGAGAGCAAAAAGGACGACTTGCTCTGTACAAAGTCTGACTCTAATGAAGTGTATTCATTCAACCTTTATGAACAAAGCTGTTAGAAAGCCCACGTTGTTTTGTAGTGGGCTTGTTTACGGAGCTCGTTCTGTTTGGTTACGGCTCGTTTCTTTCCGAATTTCATAGTTCCTATGCTCTTGAATGCACCGTGGCTGTTCCGACACTAGTGAACGCACTGCTCTGTGTAAAGTGCATGCTGCGTGTGTCAGTCTGAGTGTTTATCTCCCGACACAGTCTTGCAGCTTCTGGTCGTGCTTTACTGGTTACTGCGGTGTGTAAATACCAGAAGAAACAGCAAATAAATCACCCTGAACTGGATATCTGTCGCCGTGTTTTTAATGAGAAGACAACTTCATACTGTGCCACTCTAAACCAGTTAGTTTCCTGGAGAACACCAAACATCTGTTTTTTAGCAGCTACCATCATTTTCACACCTATCAGGAGTTCACAGTGGTTCCACTGCGAGTCAACAAAGACCATGTCTGCATACGCATCAAGCTTAGTTCAGCTTTATAACTGAATAAAGTCTCCACCTGCAGCGCGCAGTTTCACACAAGTGGCGGAGGAGCAGGGGAGAGGCTGGGTGTGTTTTCAGTGAGGGAGAGGAGGGGCAGCGTGAAGACTGGGAGAAAAACTGCTGGATTTTCAAGTACAATTATAACCCTACGTAGAGTACAAGACTAGATTGTTTTATATCAATATATTATTGAGCATGAATCAGGATATATCAATATAGTCTCATTTTATATTGCGTATGAAATTATCTTGATATTTATAAAATATCACGATATCGCCCAGCACTAGTGTCCTGCCAAGCCATGTGACCTTGTGGAAACACTGCATGTGGCGTGTTGTAAACCAGGAAAACCCGGAGTGGACCCTAGAGGTTTGAGTGTTCCATTAATCAAGTGGAATGGAGCCGTCCACAAATAGAAACACTGGGTGAACTAACATCTTATGATAAATGTGTGTGGGGGTCCAAACAATTTTTTTTTTTTATGTGGGGGGGCACGTCCCCATCACGTATAATTGATGCAACGCCTATGTACCTGCGTCTGAAGGCCTCCAGGTGAGTTTTGAGCATGAGCAGCCCCCTCTCGATGCTGGTCAGGCTGGAGTGAGAGTCCTTCTCCAGGTTGGCTGAGGCCATCAGAAGGCTCTCCATGCACTTCCTGATAAACTCCTGCTCTTTCTCCAGACCAGTCTTCCCAGCTGCAGACACACAGGTGAGCAGACCGTTTAACTCATCGACAGAAAGTAAGACAGACGGTTTACTCGTGAAGTGGTCGTCCCGACCGTTGATGTAGTAGGAGTTGATGTACTGGATGGCTGCTCGGCTGATATCGGCAGACTGAGCTCTCAGGGCGATCCCCCACAGCTGATCCATCCCGCACAACTGGAGACAAACGGAACTGAATGAGCTGGTGTTCCCTCACGTCTGTGTATGTGGAAGCTAAAAGAGCAGAGGCTGTTTACCTCACAGCTGGAGGCATTATCCAGGGTGCTGGTGGCGAGGCGCGCCAGGTTACAGAGGTGCTGGAAGAGGTTCAGGCCCGTCATGCTGATGGTTTCTGGTTTCAACTGGGGCATCTGGAGACAGAATCAGACCCATCAGCACACAGCTGCTGGTGTGAAGCAACTTTTAAAAAGAACTAACTGAATACACTCTACATCTACAGCTGAGTGCTAAGTCCGCTGTTCTAATAAATAATAAATAAAGTAAAATTGGGTGTGCCGGTAGTTGTAATGTTCTCCAACACATTGTGAGGGTTAGGAATCACAAGAGATCTTTGTTTACAAGTCTTGGATGAGAGGCGGCGGGCAGTTCTTACTCTTGTTGTTACTCAGTACTGAAATGAGTCAACTTTAGAACAGGAACTTGTGTACCTTCTCCAGAAAGAGGTGCTTGTACGTCTCCATGCCCATAGCGTGCTGGTCTTTGCTGCGGACCTGATTGAGGAACCAGTGCAGAGCGTCATCGTAGCATTCAGCGTCCTCCACCAGACAGTGCCACAGGATGTCCACCTGCTCCAGACTCAGTCCTGTCACACAAACCCAAACAGTTACAGACAAATCCATTTAGGAAACTTTCATTTTATTTCCAATTTGTTCCTCGTCTTCTGCAGCTCCACACATGGAGATTAAAACTGGTTGAATGCTTTAAACACATGTTGGAATACAAAAGAGCAAGAGATGATCGTTATGCCACACTTTTATTAGTCACATATAATGACTTACAAACTTTGAATATACTCGTTTCAACTTGGGCTACAAAATAAAGTTTTAATTTTAGCATCATCTCACAAACTCAGGAAAACCAGCCTCCGACTCAAGAGTTCATTTTCAAACAATTCAATTCAATTCAAAAATACTTTATTAATCCCAAAGGGAAATTATTTGTTGTTGTAACTCGTTATCCTCATTTCATTAAGAGATGTTATAGATGCTGATGCTGTAGACAGGAAGGATCTCTTGTAAAGGTCCATCCCACAGTGGATCCTAAGAAACTGGCTGCAGATGCCGTCCGATCCATCCACCCAGACTTGGCTGGCCTCTTGGTTCCCCCGGACTGTAGGACCGCCTGAATGCCGGGCAGAACTCCTCCCAGAGCGATGGCCACTCCTCCCAGCAGTCTGCTGAGCTCCTCATCACTGCGGACAGTCAACTGTAGGTGCCGAGGGACGTTCCTGTCCTTCTGCTGTCATGAGCCGTGTTTCCTGCTAGTTCCAGGATCTCAGTAGTCAGGCACTCGAGCACAGCTGGCAGGTAGATGAGAATGCATCCTCAGAACATCCTTTCAACTCATTTGAGATTTGGGGCTGTAGTTGAGATAATATTTGAACTTTTGAGATGTTAATCAGCTGCTGTTGGTTGTAGAAAACTGCCTTGTTGCCATGGTTACGCATCATAACAAATGTCCAAAACTAAAAAAAGTTTCAGTAAAAATCCTTCCAGCTGCACAGCATCTGATACCAGAGGAAAGAATCATCCAAAAAAATGTGACTTACATCCAGAAAAAGAGGAATTAAAGTTTCCAAAAGCAAAATCTCAGACTGAAAGTAACAGAGCTGCTCCAACATGCAGACACCTGGAGCGGAGCAGTTCTAGAACAACTGTAAAATCAGAAAAACAAGAACGTCCGCAGTGACAAGAATAAATCCCTGTAGTTCGTTTTGTTTGGGTCAGATCCTGGCTAATCTGTTTTTATATCAACTTCTAATTTTCCATGGACAACGGGCTCAGTTGGTAGAGCTGTTGCCTCTCAGTGAGAAGGACACCGGTTCGGTGTGGGCGATATGGCTCAAATATAATATCGTGATATTTCAGAGCATTCTGACGATAACGATAAATTTCATGATACAACGACAACAAAAAAACAGAAATCATAGTTATTCATTGACAAAATTAACTTAACATGTTGCTTTGCAGTATTGTATAAATTAAAAAAACAACAACAATTTGACTGAAATTATTTAGTAAAGCATTCAGTCTTCAAGTATAAAAATAAAAATGATCCTTCTGTTATTTAGATGAAAAAGTCTGCACAAAATATAGATCAATAAATCCACCACAAAAACTAAAGTGCACGTGAAGTTTCTCAAAATAACTAAATAAAATGAATCTTAAGATCTGTTGATCATAAATGTAACAAAATATGTTTCTTTAAATGAGCTCTAACTCTGATCACATGACGCTGTCTCTGATCACATGGATCACATGACTCTGTCTCTGATCACATGACTCTGTCTCTGATCACA